TATGATACTTCTTAATTTGAATAAGATGTTACTTTGTTTGATAAGTTAGATGATCCAGTAAAAATATTAGTAAAATAGTCGTTGGTAACTCAATATTCTAGGTATTCTGAGTTGTAAAGTTAGGTGTTACTTCATAAATTTGATTTAAGATGTTATTTTATTGACTAGCTAGATGTTAATGATTACTTTGATAAGTCAATACTAAAATATATTTTGAGAATTTGTTATTCTATCCTGATATAATTGAATTCATCTCTTTATGTTTTAGTTCGATAATATTTGATTCAGATTTAGATTCTACATAATGTAGATTCTAAATCATCTATTGTAATAGGCTTTAGGAAGTTGTTAAACAATTTATTCTAATGTAGAAATTATTTTTTTGAAATTTATATTGTAGCTATGGTTAGTGTTTAATCCAGATTCACTATAGCCTGGGCTAGAAATGAACTTCTTTATTATAGTTTCGGTTAAACATTTTTGAAATTATTTACTGTAGCTATGATTAGTGTTTGATACACAATGAAAGCGAATGAAATTTATTCTGATGTATTCTTAATGCGACAGATGGAAATTTATTCTGGAACAGTAAGTGGAAATGTGAAACATTGACTTGGGTGAAGAAGGTTTTCTGCAGAATAAGAAGCATATAAAATAGTTATGCTTTGACCAATCAGATTCCAATTCCATAAGAAAGTGACTGACGAAGCAAAGGAATAGGGAATGGTTGATAAGATTGGTCATTAAAAATGATGAGAGAATGGATCGATGCAAGAAACATAGTGGAAGGACGTGAATAATTTTTTTGGAATATTTGAAAGTCTTTGGTTATGAATGACATGGTTGTGTTTTGTTCGTTTGAATACTTTTTTTTTTTTTTTTTTTTTTTTTTTTTTAGTTTGAACAATAGGTATGGTTGTTTCAATGGCCAGTGAATGTTTCACAGAACAATAGTCATGGTTAAAAAATAGTTATGCTTTGATCAATCTGAAATATCATGCTTTTATGATCAAATGTTCATTTTTTGTTATAGTTAATGTACAATATTCTAATAGAGTAATGTTATAGGTTTTCTGTACATTTATAATATTCTATTAGAATAATGATAAATGTTGTTTTTATATAGATTTATATGTAATGACATTATTACAATAATATTTTAGAATTTATAGATATATGTGATGTTAATAAAACTTACTTACTGTGTATATAAGAAATATTCTAATAGAATAATTTTATAGGTTGTATGTTCATGTATAATTCTATTTGAATAATGTTCTATGTTTTAGAATATTAGAATATTACATATATTATATTTTTATGAACACTGAAATATTAGAATATTTCACTAGAGAAAAGTGGTCTTATGGTCTTACGGTCTCAAAAAAATTGACATTTAGAACATTCTATTAAAATAGTGTTAAATTTTGTTGGTTTTTATAGATTTATATGTAATGATATTTTTACAAAAAAAATGGAATTTATAGATATATGTATTGTTAATAAGATTTATTTACTATGTATATGTTGAATATTGTATGTCCATGTATAGTAATTCTTTTGGAATAATGTTATATGTTTTAGAAAATTAGAATATTACATATATTATATTTTTATGAACACTAAAATATTAGAATATTTCACTAGAAAAAAAATGGTCTCATGGTCTCGCGGCCTCACAATATCAAGGTCATCGTATTTGAATCTAGTGCATGATGTATGATGTTAATAATCTAATTGAAATTTTTTAATAAGTTTCTTGTTAAATAATTTCATTTATTAAATAAAAATAATATCTATATGTAGAATATTCAAATAGAATAATGTTATATGTTATTTGTTTTTATAAATGTATATGTAGAATATTCTAATAGAATTATGTTATAGGTTTTGAAATAAATAAGTTAATTTAGTACATGAAAATATTTTGTAGTATGTGTAGAACATTCTATTAGACTAATGTTATATGTTGTTATTTTTCAGAAGTTCGTAATGAGCTTTTTAAAATATAACACTACTTGATTATATCAACCAAAAATATCAATGTATAATAAACACATAACAATAATTAGATCTAGAATATTAGTCATAGTAACAAAACACATTCAATTACATCATCATTTATAAATGTGTATTAGAATATTACACTTATAAATTATTAAAAAAAGAATTATAAACTTCAATAAGATATCGGTATCATCAATATAGAACATATAATAATAGACTATATCATATATCATATTCTAAACGAAATATGGAACTAATTGAGTAGTTCAACAAATAAAAATCAAAGTGGACTATAACATTATATATTTGTACATGTAGAATATCTAGAATCCAAACTAAATAATCATTTGTTGAAATGAGTTCATTGCTTGGGTGCGATTCGTCAGCAGCATCATTAGTTTGACCTACAAAAAAGTATTCCATTAATATTTATTATTGTATAAATATTTACAAAATTATATTCTAAACTTAATTTTCTGAATATGTAAGGACGTATAAGTAATGTTTTTCAGTTATTCTAATCAAAAGAATATACCATGTATTATGTAATGTAATAAAAAATATGATGAAATGAGACCAAGTACCACTTCTGCTTCATGCTAAACTGGTCCAAATTCATCATTTACTTTACATGCTACTGACAAGGAGGATAGTAACTAATCTAAACCTTTCACTCAGATAATCAAAATAGTAAAAACAACGAGGAAACATGTTTCAAGCTTCAGTCTTCAAGCTTCAAGCATCAACATGATCTAAGATTTCCCTACAATGATTACACTAATCTTTCATATATGCACCATTTTATGTAATTGTCTAAATATGATGGAAAAAGAATAACATTTATATCAACAAGAATATGATTTAATCATTTAGAGGCAAACCAAAGGAAAAAAAACTTTTGATAAGTATCCAATTCCATTTCAAAGTTAGTAAATGTGCATAATCACTTGACTTGATGTAACGATTTTGTTCTATTGTGATTATCTTCAACCTATATATGTAAAGTTCACACTTTGGTGCCATAAATTACTACCAGATAGCAATTAATTAGGAGCATGTCTAGAATTTAAATGCATAAGAACTTAAGTTATGATTATTCTCTTAGGCATTTCATCAAACAATTAGCGTATCAAATAATACTTCTCTAATTCTTTTGTCCTCAAATAGATGGTACATCAATTGCTACTAATGATGAGTTGTTGAAATTGTTCTATAATGGAGAAATTGTTCATTCTTAATGATGAATTGAAGAAAATCAATCCTTACTTATCCTTCTGTGGTTTGCAATTTGCGATTGAACAAAACTGATTAAGAAAATCATGAAGATATTGACTCATATTTGCAATTACAATTGAACGAATCCAACTCAAACAATCATCAGATAAAGAATAAAGAAGATGAACTAGCAAATCACTAAAATCATGAATTTAATAACTGAGATTTTGATAGGAGATGATAATTGATAAATCAATGAATGTCAATCTCAAAATCACGTTGATCTGGTATAAATACATACCTATTCAAGGCGATGAAGATCTTGATTTTCTGAATGTGATGATTTTGATATGAAGGATAATTGATCGATCAATGAATATCTATCCGACATAACGATGATCTGGTGTAGGATTTGAAGATCGAAGGAGATAAAGATCTTGATTACGTGAATATGAAGCTAATTTTTGTAACAGGTATGTTGATGATCTGTTTAACCTAACAATGACTAAGCTGCCCTTAATTAACAAATCAGGTACATTAATAAGTCTTAATCACGTTTTTTATGAGCCATAGGATCAATTTTGATCAAAGGCTAATATGTTGTCCCCATGTCTCACAAAAAACTCCTCGTCTCAAATGAACCTCTACTTACCATTTATATATATTTATAATTCATTTCATATCTCTTTTTCGTAGAGTCGTTTTTTCTTCCGACTCAAAATATGGTTGGATTGGTCCTTTATACTTACATCTGAAAATGATGGTTTTATAAAGAGAAAGAGGATGTGAATGCAGAGGTGGCACAAATGGAGATTTGAGAATTAGAGAAGATGAAGACAAAGGTGGCTATGTGAGATGACATCGTCGATGGTTCGAGGAGATGAAGGCGATTCTAATTCTATGAGATGAAAACGTTGGAGTTTTAGTAAACCACGATGACCAATCGTGTAATATTGTCTATGTTGAATTTCTATTTTATATAAAAATCAAATTTAGTTTTTTACATTATTTTTACGTTTATTCCGTTAAAAATGTTAACTCTTCTAACATCAATTTCGAACTATATGATATATGTTTTCACTACTATGATATGGATGCCGGATAGCAAAATGTAATATCTTGTATTTTCAGCTAATTGAAAAAGGTATATATTGTTTCAATGTTGAAAAGATTTTCTTTAACAAATTTGCATATTTATTTGTTTTTATTGTTAAATAAAATTGTATCTTATAAATAGATATCTTATATGTATTTAACTATTTAATATTTAAATGTATAAAATATCTATTTATAAGATAGAATAAATCTTCTATTAAATTTGGCGTTGTATAGTTGGAAACAAAAAGCAACTTTAATAGCATTTAATTATTTAGTTCTTTAAACGTCTAATGTGAACATGTTTATTTACAAAATCAAAAATTAAAATAAGACAACTAATTTACATTCGGTATAAAACAACTAATATATACTATAGACTATCAGTATCTTCCTTTTTGTTGAATATCTTTTTTTTTCTTTAATTATTTAATAAATATCCAAAAGCTGTTCTTGTGCTCAGATGTCTCCTATAAATGTGCAATTTCTCGTGTTTGTTACCAACTTTCAACTATTGGGTCTTCTTCCTTCTCAATTCTTTTTCAATTTCAAACGATCATCGTTTCTGTTCAAGTTATACCAATTCCCCCCCTCTTTTTGGATTCAACTGAAATCCATAGACATGGATGACTACTACATGTTATGTCCGATAAAAACAAACAGAGCATAAAAAAGTTATAACAATGGCGATTCCGGAGATGACAACTAAGTTTTCCGTTCATGAAAACAAACCACCTGAAAGACTTGTACGGATATCAATGACAGATCTTTATGCAACTGATTCTTCCAGTGAAGAAGAAGACGGAGGTTTCGTACGGCGGCGCGTAAAGAAGTATGTCAATGAGATTAACATACAAACGACGTGCAGAGCTACGGTGGGGGTTGAGAAGTCCAAGAAGACGACTGGAAATAGGGAGTCAGGTCTTCAAGCTAAACAGAAGCCAATGAAGACGACTAAAACTCCGGTGAACAATGGGAGGAAGTTCAGAGGGGTGAGACAAAGACCTTGGGGTAAGTGGGCGGCGGAGATTAGGGATCCGGCGAGACGTGTCCGGTTGTGGCTGGGGACTTATGAAACGGCGGAGGAGGCTGCGAGGGTGTACGACAACGCCGCTATTAAACTCCGTGGTCCTGATGCTTTGACAAACTTTAGCAATCCACCGATTGAGGAAAACCCACCGCCGGTCAATATTCCGTCGACGTCCGGGTATGATTCAAGCGAAGAGTCGCACAACCTTCTCTCTCCAACTTCCGTTCTCCGGTTTAGTAGCACCAATAATGACAATAGTAACAGTCACTCCAAAGAAGCACTTGAACCGGTCAAAGAAGCTGAAGAGTGTCAGTCAACAAACTGGTTTGACCCGGTTATTAAGCTTGACCCGAATACTAATTTAGTAGTTGACAAGAAAGGGTTGGATCCTTTTGGAGATGATGTGCCATTCTTGAATAATCTTTTCGATTTCCAATCACCGGAGCTAACTCAATTTGGTGATGGAGCTCTATTTAATATGATGGGTGGTGATTTCCGGTCACTTGACTCTATTGAATTTGATAACTATGTTAGCTTATCGTTTTTTGAAAATTTCAAGGATCCAATTTATGATATTGGTTCACTTTCGACTTTGGAAGTGGAGAATTACTTCCAAGACATTTAAGAAGGCGTTTTTGGTTTAAATTGTTTTTGAAAAGATTTGAAGGTTGTTGGAGCCTTATAATCCATCAAATTTTGTGATAATATGAGATATATTTATATTTATATTTGATAAAATTGCAAAAAATGTATGTCCTTTGGTTTTCAACCTTTTTTTTTTTTTTTTTTTTTTTTTTTTTTTTTAATTTTAATTTGAGTCTAAAAGTTTCCAATTTGCAAAAAGTATTTTGTTGGTATAATTTTATTATAGATTTGGTCTTTAAATTTAACAACAATTTGTCTAATCCACTAAAACCTAATAAAATATCAATTTATTCTTCATTTGGTGTTTTTTAAGAGTAAATTATTTTAGTCAATAAAGTTTATACAATTGGTGTTAGTTTTGTCTTTTTTATTTTGGTCATTTTTAAGAGTAAATTTTACACTATTGATCCTTATACTAGTTATTGTCATGATTCTTTGTTAATCATTAGATATGTCTAAAATAATAAAAATACCTTTATTTTTGTCTATATTTTTAATATTCAATTCTACCTATCTAATAAAAGAATAACTATTTTACCATGTTTTACTATGTGTCAATCATTTAAAACTTCTTATTAATTAAATTGTCATTTGTCACTCTTTGATTTTGTCTCAAAAAAGAAATTGCCACTTGTCACTTTTTACTATTTCCTTATTAATTAAAAATTTAAAATATCATTAATTGCTTCTTTCTTTTTATACAAATGTAACCGTCATCACAAGTTTAAATTGTAATCTTTATTACCTAATTTATTATTATTATTATTATTATTATAATTATTAGGGCTAACAATCACATACAACAATCACGTCACCTTTAGATAATCTCTTCAATTTTATAAATCCCTGCATAAAACTCATTATTTTCTTACCATAGTTTGAATGTAATTCAAACATTAATCTTATATATAATTTACATTTGAAATAAAAACAATATAAACAACTATATTTGCCCTTATATATATTTTATTATATATCATTGTTATTGTTTTTTCATTAGTTCACAAATAAATATTGTATGATATATATATATATATATATATATATATATATATATATATATATATATATATATATATATATATATATATATATATATATATTCAAAATATATTTCACATATTTATTTAAAACAACGATTATAATTTTATATAATTAGAAAATATATATATTTACTAATAATTTATTTATAATAATTGATTCGTAATTATAATTTTTTTTACAAAAATTTAATTTATTTTATAACTGTGGTTCCTACGGGTTATAACCTAGTACTTAATAAAAACCTTCCCTACATGCCATGTGTATTTTTTTATGCATCTAATTGCCAATTGACATTTTCTGGTTAAAGTATTTCATAATTTTCCCGCTCAAATGTCAAGTTTTAAGATATCCAATTTTATCCTATTAAATGTTAAATGAATTGATTGATTTGGTAATCAATTATTCAATCACTGATTTCTCTATATTCAGTTTCCTTCTTTTACGCAATCACTTTCAACTCATGGATGGATTTTTATCTTAAAAAATCTGGAAGACAATCTTTCTGTTATCACTCTTATACGCGTATCACACCTTATTATCACAAGCAATTCGACAGACTATGTTTTTTATGCCACGATTCTCACACTATACGAAGATGAATATTCCATGTAATTCATTTTGATTCTTGTAACAAGATGTGGATGGGTTCTTCGATTATCAGAATGGATTCTTCTGTCCATCGATGATTTCAAGGTAATTTGTTCTTCCTCTCTTATCTTTAGTTTTTTATTTATTATGTTTTCAGTCGGTTTTGTTTTTTAGGGTTTGATGCATTTCTTATGCACGTAGATTTTCCTTCAATGTTGGTATGCCCCAATTGAGATTTTTTTAAATGTTTTTTCTACAATTATGTTTTTATGGGTTTCACTATGCAGGGTAAAAAAGTTATACATCCATTGCCTAATTATTTCTATCTTTCTGGAGTCCTCTGTCGTGTATGTTTATTTGGTAAGTTTTTTCATTCTCTTTTTCATATTTGACCTAAATATCAGTACTTTAATGAACCTTTTCTATTTGTTTTTTGGGAAAAAGTTCAACAGATTTCTAATCCCTTAAAGGTTTTTGGTATCCAAAGAAAGAAAGATAATTTGGGGTTTTGACAAAGAAAAGAAAAAATGTTTTCTCTTACTATTGCGTACAATTAATCATGCATCATGAAAGTCACTTGTGTACAATTTAAAAATGCAGAAAGCATAATGTACTTACACCAATTTGGTGATTTGTCTATTTAACTAAATATTGTAGTACTTAATTTGTTATGCTTCTTTATCGTAAATGAATGTTTTTACTGGTTGTCGGTCGAAAATTAGAAAAAATAACACGGTAATAATTTTATTGATAGTTTGAAGGAAATGAATTTAAGTTAAAATATTTGGAGAATGTGAAGAAATGGATTGAAAAATATGAATGTAATTTAGAGGGTATAATGAATGCGAGGATGCTGAATGAAAACCTAAACAAAAAGATCTTCAACTTGAAATTGATGAGTTTGTAAGGAAGTTTGATGGTGATGTTAAAAAAACTATGAAATTGCAGGTATTTATCGAGGTTTTTGATAAATTTCTAGCAAATTTTTGTTGATATGATATGCGATAGTTGGTCTTCTGTGTAAGAAACCGAACAACTTTGTATCTTTATTTGAGAAATTGTTAGAAAAAAAATCCTAAAAAAAATTCTCTCTCTAAACGATCCGGATATTGATTAGTCTGGAAAGTACTTTGACAAGGTTGGTTTGCTCCTTCTAATTCAATGTTGCCCATTTCATTTTTATAAGGTTATTTTGGTGTCGTAAATTGTTGTAGTTTTAACCTCTTTGTATCTATACTTTGGTCTGGCCATTGGTTGGTCTTTTTCTTTTTTAATATAGATGTATCGTTCAAATAAAGAACGTAAATAATGGTGAATTGTCGTGCTCAAAGTCAAACTTTTAATTTTTTGTTGTTTGCACCGGTAATATTCACCTTTACAGTGTTTGAAGGTGTTATTGTACTTTGGTTACATGGTCTTAATCCCCTCACATGGCTTTCCAAACGCACACTTCATTTGATTGCCCTATTATGTACTTTTGACCCTCATGTCAATCTCATATATATAATTTTTTTTCTTGATTTGTAATATATAGATATAATCATTCAAATGCATCATTAGTTTTTAGAATATGTATTTTGTTTTATTTGGAAAGTTAATTTTCAACCCCAATTTTTTGTTTCTTCAGTGTTTGAGTTTGACATCTTTTATCAATCAATGTAATTTCTCTTCACTTCACATTTCTTCAATGGTTGTATATTCGTATCTGCCTTAAGCGATTGAAATGGACAAACTTTTAATCCCTTTCACAAATCGATACTTAGGACATGTTCTACCGACCGATATATCTATGTAGGGATAATTTTTGGTTTTTATTTCTATTACAGCCAAAGGAGGGAAAGGGGGCTTAGGGAGGTTCGGTGGGTATTTTGGTAAATAATAATAATAATAATAATAATAATAATAATAATAATAATATATTTTTTTTAAAATAAAAACAATATATACAATATTAACATTTTTAATTAAGTTATTCCTAAGCATCATCTTAATTATCGATAAAATATTTTTAAAAATTTTCATCCGTGGTGCCCACGGGTTATAACCTAGTTAATTAATAAACAAAAGGTTCCACCAATATGCACCATTTAGAATTGGCAATAGGGCTACTAAGAGTGAATCAACATTCATCCAAACCTTTTTGATAAATTTAAATTTTGATTGGAACTCATCCAAATCCTTTTAATAAATTTAAAATTTGATCAAAACATGTTCCATAACTCTCATTGTTTTGCATAATCAAATTCATATCCTTATCCATCAAATCAACATATATCCAAGCTCATTCGGTAACTTGTAAGTTTTTTGAATAATCACACATATTTTACTTAATTCTTAAAATAATATTTCATTAATAAAACAAATATTGATTTAGAAAACACACTACATACTCAGTGACTTTCGATTGGAATTAAAATCACTATTATAGTAACTTTTGATTGATTTTTGACTGCATATTGTAGTGATAGAGCATACCAATTGCAATCTTTCTTCAGGTTGGTAAATGAATTTATTAAATAATAAATGAAATCGGTGATTGCTTTATGAAATATAATGAAATGACATTATGATTATTGGTAGAATACTGTAAGTCTATAAAATATAAACATATAACTCTAAAATTTATACGTGACGAGTTATAAACGGATCAAATCGATGATGATCCATGCTTGACCCTTTAATAAAAGGGTTAGAGGGTAAGTGTCTTTAACGGGTAAACGAATAAAAAACGATACTCTAAACCCATATAATTCTTAAGGGTTTGGATCGGATCAAGGCCAAAATCCGCTCCATTACCAAACCATCCTTCCCTTCCCCTTCATTCATCTTCTCTGTAGGATCTCAATGATTGTTGTTAAAAGAAGATTAATGAGACAAACCAAGAACTCATCTTCGAACATACATTTGCAACGATAGCAAATGTGAATATTAGACTTGAGTTGGCATGAGTTGGGATTTAGAAGCATAAAACATTGCATGTTTATTTTGATAATTTATGGTGTTATTGTGAGCGATACTATACAATTCAAAGTCTTTTCCCTACATGTTGGTTTCTTGAAACTTTATGATGATACTTAGAAATATTTTTGGCAGCTCACATTGTCCAAGTGATATTTAGTCATAAAAATGTTGATAATCTACTCTAATAAATGAAAATAATTTTTATCACTTGTCATCTTCTCATGCATTTTGCCACATGATATTTTTTTGTAAGTTTAAATTAAATTTTATCCACGTGTCATTTTATGGTTTTTTATATTTTATTAAAGTTCATATATAATATTAAATGGATATTAATTTTAATAATACACTTTCTAAACTTAAAATCCCTAATTGAGCAATTCAATC